TGTTAGTTTGGGGGAGTGTACTAGTCCAAGATGTTATCTTAGTCATCTCCTAAGCTCTCCACAAACACTAAACTATGCACACTACATGTCGCTTAGGCACCACCTGGGCCCCCAAAAGTATGTAAAATCATGGCCTTCATGGCTATCAATAGCGGTTTAGGGCTATTATTTACATACTTGTACTTGTGAAGTACCCTAAACCCTAAACCCTAGCTTTTGAGCCCCCCGGAGGTCCAAAGGGCTTCTCGATGATGAGTCGTGTGGATCCTCCTTTTGCCATGGCAACTTCTTTGATTGCCTTCGCAGCTCCTCAAGAACTGAGGGTTTAGGGTTTAAAGTTTTGGGTTTAGGGTTTAGGGTTGAGGGTTTAGGGAATGGGACAGTAATCAAAACTGGCGGCTCTAAACCTCTACCTAAACCTTAAAAAGTATGTAAAAAGGAGAACCCTAGACACCTAAAAACAGACCAAGAGGCTAGTATTTTACATACTTTTGGCTTCCCCTAAACCCTAAACCGTAAACCCCAAACCATGGCAGCTCCTTGAAACACAAAGGGCGGAATGGCAAAGTAGAAGACCCGGTGGGATTGCTTGTCATTGTCGCCAATGTGAAACCTGGCTAATAAGGTTTAGGGTTTAGGCTACAGCTCATGACAACGGCCTTGCGCTCAACGTGGTTTGAAGGTTCAGTGCTTCAATAACTAGGCGGTTTTAGTCACCCCCAACCACTAGAATTTGGGCCCGGTAACCATATTGATTGTGTCTCCTTATCTGGGTTACCCAATAACCCAATAATGATAAGGGTACCCTTTTTCCTAATGGTCAGCTTTAATGAGGAGACCGCAAAATAAAAAGGGTAAAAGGGTACTACTTAGGTACCTGTTAGTCTAAGGGTTCGAGAAACAAAATTATTCTTTTCATTCTGAAATCTTCTCACCTCGGGTTCACGGTTGGGCGTCCTGTTCTTGTGTGTATTGCTTAGGAACTGCGGTTGGGGGTTTTAAGTACATTTAGAGCCTTTAGACCCATGATCACTATGAAGTACTACATGTTCCTCCTGGAGATCCCATACCATCCCTCATCTGCAGTCTCAAGCCCTAAACGGGTACCCTGAAGGCTCCCGGAAATATCATGAATGAGCCCTTTGCAAAAAAGGCGAAAGTAACAATTCTCCCAAAACCCTAAACCCTAATCCCTCAAACTTGGGTACTGCCCCCGCTCACTAACAGTTGGATAATAAATATAAAATGGTTCTACATAGCCCTTAATAGGACCCCTAATATAGACTGTTACTGGGGGGAGCAGTACCCAACCTCAAACCTTGCAAGGCATCCCTGCCTTTCTTCCTCCACAGTCAGCAGCTTGTCGAGCTCAGCCATCGCATCGACTGAATCATAGGAACCCGCAAAGTAGTGCACTTTCTTTAGGAAGGCTGGGATACTGTCCTCCACAGGGTTTAGGGTTTAGGGGTTTAGGGGTTTAGGGTTTGGGGTTTAGGGTTTGGGGTTTAATTAGGGTTTAGAAGCTGTTGGTCTGGACCCTTAGCTGACCTTGTGGCTTTGGGCCTTCATATTAGAAGCAATAGTCAGTCCTACTTTATTTGTGGGATACATGCGCTACATACATTGAAGTCGATTTTGGTTCTACCCGTCATGATTTGAAGATTCAGGCTAAGGCTTAAGGCTTTCAAACAAGAAGGTCTCATTTCCATTTTAGCTGACCCTTAATGGAGAGGAGTGATGCCGTTTGGGATAGCCATTGTTTGGATACTATCCTTGGTCTCTGGCATCTCTTGGCAAACGTGCGACTTCAGCAGGACCTCCGACAAGTACTCCCGGAAGCTTTCAGTTGTCATCTCCTTCCGCGCGTAGCCCACTATGACGGCCTCGTGCTGCAAGTAATCCTTGTGTTGACTATGGATTAGGGTTTAGGGTGCAAGTAATCCTTGTTGACGATGATTGCTGCAGCTTCCTGCATTTAGTGGTGACGCAGCTGGATCCAGGCCAGCAAAACATCTTGAGGCGAGAAATCTTGGGGAGGTTAAGTACTCAGGAAAAACAATCAGGTTTCCCAAGGCCGCGCCAGCGTCATGAGCAAACAAATCCAACAGAGCAGGGAACGTCTCTTTCTTCGCCAAATCCCCGGTGGCTCCCAGCCTCAACAGCGCACCGCTGGCATTGTTTCCTACTACTGAGAAGAATGGGTCAAAGATATTGGGCTTAGGAAATGTGACGGGAACGCAGAATAGTTAGATTTCAGAGAATTATCATTCGTAGAGATCATGTGCGCAGTGTCAGTAAGCTGGGGGCTTTATGGAAGTTATCCTACGTAACAGGGCCTGTACAGGAGACATACCAAGATTATGTGTGCAGTTAAACAACGAGAAGCGTCGATTTGATTGAAATTAATGGGGAATGTTTAGATAGGGCTGCCTCTGAAAAATGATGTTCCGATGCAAGTCGAAAACTCCCATGTGTTCCAGTACCCGCAAATCCTAGGTTGGCACTGCATAGTCCGATTTCTGTGCACGATGTAAAGGAATATGCAAAGAACCAATAGCTTGGCAGAACAAGAAATGTGCCATCTGCAGCTACAGATCCACTTCTCCTTTGAAACAAATGGCAGCTACACAACATCAGACACCTGATAGGTCTACCCAGAGCGTGATCTTGGCATTCTTTATGTGTTACGCAAGTGCACACCGAAAAGGAATGCCCCCTGCTCTGAAACTCACTCGGGGGACTTACGCTGTACTTTGTGCTACTTGGGGTTGCGATTGGAGCTGCTACAGGCCCGGCTATAATTAGAAACGTCCTGCGTGCTCCCGAGCCTGCCAGCAACCCGAAAAGCTATGCCTGTAGCCCCAAAGCCCTCAACCCTGTACCATGGACCCTCTAACTCCCCGAACCCCAAGCCCTATACCCCACTCATCAGTTGCACCCGGAACCCTAAACCCCAAACCCTTACACTCTGAGCCCCTAAACCCCTGAACCCTAGAGCCCTACACCCTAAAACCCCCAAAACCCACACACACCTTGTAGCTTAACGGCGGTCAAGCAGCACTGTCACTGAGAGTTTCCCGGATCTCCAGGCTTCCTGCACAAAGTAACCGTCTATCCATACCAACTCTGCCAAAACCCCTAAACCACTAAACCCTATATAAAAACCATACATATATACAACTATGCAATTTATACAACCTCTATATAACCCCTGAATATTTCTGAATAAAAGCCTTCCCAAAAATGGGGGTCCCTATAGCGAAGATTATCGTATTTTCGGGTCTTTTTTTTGGCCGCCCTATTTATGGAAACCCTAAACCCTAGACCCTGAACCCTAAACCCTAAACCCTGAACCCTAAACCCTGAACCCTAAACCCTAAACCCTAAACCCTGAACCCTAAACCCTAAACGCTATATACTATTTAATTCCTTCAAAGGGATCCTGGTCGAGGCCGATGGCTTCCGCGGTAGGCGCAGGCTGCTTGGGAGCTTCACCGAGGCTGACCCCTGCCTTGCTCAAACATGCGGCGACATTCCTGAAAGGATTGTTTAAGGGTTTAGGGGTTAAGGGTTTAGGGTTTAGGGTTCCAGTGCTTTAGGGGTTAAGGGTTCTAGGGTTTTAGGGTTTTAGGGCTTAAGGGTTTAGGGTTTAGTATTTAGGGCTTAGGGTTTAGGGTGCTAGTGCTTTAAGGGTGTTAGGGGGTAGGGTTTTAGGCTTTTATGTTTTTATGGTTAAAGGGCTTTAGGGATTTTGGGGGTTTCAGGGGGGCTATGGGGTTTATAGGCTTATGGAGTTTTGTGGTTATAGAGTTTGGGATTATAAGGTTGTAGGGTTATAAGGCCGCAAGGTCAGAGGGTCACAGGGTTTTGGGGTATAAGGAAAGATAAAGATGCATTGGGGTATATGAGGGTATGGAGGATTAAATGGAAAATACAATGAAACATGAAATGGTGTAGTGGGTTCCATGATGTACGGTTTTTAACTTGGCGCACGGGCCGATGGTCATTGGATAGCTGGTGGGTTGCTATCGTTTTCTCAGCGTCTGGGTACACAAGAACATTACCTGAACCCCAAAAGTGTGTAAAACAATAGCCTTTTGAAATTTTTGGGTTGTTTTTAGGTGTCTAGGGCTATCATTTTACATACTTTTGGGGTTTAGGTATCATTGTTTGGCTATCGTTTGTCAATCATAGACCCCGGTACGAATACACGTCCATCCTTCATATATACCCTATGACAGAGGAAAAACAGCGTGTCGTAGAGGGAGTTAATGAACGTAGATTAAGTTACCATAATGACCTAGTCAGGGTGGGCGCGGTTGGGTAGGAAGAGGTGGGATAGGGAAGGTTTTGGCTTCCAAGTTGAAAGTTAAGAGAGTAACTGTCTTTGGGTCTGGCGTATGTTGGGTTCAGGGTCTCAAGTACAAAGTCCAATCTGTATGGTTCCCGAGTTGAGATTACTGAAGAGCAAGGACAAGATTCTAGAGAGGCAGAGGGAATTATCACGAATTTTACTGAACATGTCATCTTCTTGTTTTGTTGCCACGTGCCCGAGTGACCCCTAACAAAACGCATGTTTCTGCAGCACCCATGCTTCACGTTCAAGAGCACAGTGCCCAAACCAAAACGGTCCTGCCTCAACCACAAAGAACGGAGTGCTTTTCCAACTTTACAGCTTCTTACAGAGGTGTCACGGCATGACATCTCCCTTTCGCTAGAGCCAGCGCAACATTTCGTGCATCTGGACACTCCAAAAGATAACCCTTCTGTGGGTTTTGGCCATTGCCCTGCAGCAGCCACATGCCGAAAACACACTAAAACGCGTTTTGACCTGAACATCTCTGTGCATTACTGTTTCTTCCTGTGAAATTTCTAAGGCTATTCAAGCCCCCGTGTTGCCCTCTTGATGGCATGCCTACGAGAGTGCGTTCATGTCTGTGGACATATAACATAAATCAGGTCGACTCTCTGCAAATGTTGCCTGCTCAGGCGTTTGCTGGGGTGAGTAGCGCCATGTGGGGGAGAGCGGCTTCGCTCCATTTTCGAAACTGGTTGGATGAAGGCTTTGACCCCCCGCGCTTCAGGTGCCAGCTGTTATGCAGAGTTGTTTTCTTTTTTTCGTAGCTTGCGATTCCAACAGTCATGTAAGCCTGCTGGCAACTACTACGAACCTGTTAACTGATGCGGGCATGCTAATCGCCAGGACATTAATTTTTAGTGCAGCTAACTAACTAGCTAACTCATGCGAGAAGGGTATCATGATAATTAATTAAGATCCGGGCAACCACGGCGAACATGTTAGCTAATGCGAGCATGGCACCAGGATAGCAACTGTCGTGCAACGACTGTAAACATGTTAAGTAAAGCGAGCATGGCACGTCAAAACCATGATTTCATTATCCTCCCCAAAGTTTTGCTTTCTTTTGCAGTGTCAAGTCGATGTTTTCGCTACAACGAAACGCACAAAAACTTCAAACATGTCGACGCGTCTCGGTGTTTTTGCTCCTCTGCAGCGTAGACCGCTTGCCTTGAAATCTGTTAAAACAAATTTTGGCACATTCGATGTTCCCGACCAACTTTGCTGACACACGAGTAGGTGCGCAATCTTGTTTTGAAACTTTCATTAACGCTTTAAACCGGGTTATTGCAGCCCCGCCAAACCCTAACCCCTATTAAAAACTTCTACTCAAGAATGTCATAGGTTCTTTTGAGATGAATCCACCACTTGGAGCAAGTCTTTGAAGTCGTCCTTGGAAAACGTCACCTGGATACGGTCTGAGCAAGCAGATGGAGGATTCGGCTTAGGGTTTATAGGGGTTTAGGGTTTAGCGGCTTAAGGTTTAGGGGTTTAGTTTTTAGGGATTTAAGGTTCGGAGTCCGAAGCTGATTGTAAAGAGGGTTCCGAGCTGGATATTTATTTGTCGCAACACTGAAAGGCCAACTTCCTAGGAGGGCTTGTTTTCTCAAACAGACGCTATATCTTCAACCCTTTGTAGGCCAGCCAGTCCCGCAGGACATCATAGGTGGTCCTAATTTACAAATTTGGGTGTTGATTTTGCAATCCTAGTACACTCCTCACTGGACCCCCATAATTCCTCTCTGCACCCCGCCCCCCCAACGCCCATGAATTCCTAGGGTTTCTGGAAGCCTTCCTATGTTGACAGTCCTCCATTTGACATTTCCTCTCCTTCGACCTAGAATACAGGCATGTTTTCCATGGCTCCTTGCCTTGTGGATGTACTGCACAAAACAGTTGATAAATCCTGAGCCCAGAGGGTCCATGTACCCAATAATTAGGTACTTGGGATTTGGGTAATAGTAATTATAGTACAGGTCTTGGACCCTTAGGGGAGGGAATAGGAGTTGAGGAGTCCCTGCCTGGGTCGCCTCTGCCGGTAGTGAAGCCGCGCTGCCCATGACTCCAGCGTCCGGGATGGCAAGTTTGGGCCAATGTCTATCGGATATGATTATGTATGAAGCGTAGGGTTGGGGGTCCATGAAGAAGGACGGAACTTGGGCTTAGAGTCTTTGAAACATAGGCTAGGTACATGCGTCTGAGTTCAAGCTTTGCACTCTCTGACCCTCAATTTGGAAACCCGTGATGCGATGGATGCGAACACATCCTCCACGATCTTCCTATACTGAACTAGTACACTTTAATTGGGGTCCTGAAGGAGTAGCTTTCGTGTCAACCCTTTAGTCACCTATGTAACCAGACTTGTCATATCGTCTTCCATTTGATTCCCAACTGTTACCCTAATCACTATAAACTAAATATGACCACTAGCTATATATCCCCCCATAGTACCCCTACTAGTACCCCTACAAAGCCCCGTCCTGCAGTAGTTGTCGTATAATCCCACACCCACTCCCCTCGGCCTCCTCCTCATCCTCATCCCGCGTTTCATCCTCAAACCATCTGGCCAGACCTGGGCAGGTTTAGGGTTCAGGTTTAGGGTTTGGGGATTAGGTTCGAGGGTTTAGGGTTTAGGGCTTAGGGTTTAGGCATTGGGATACTGCTGCAATTGTTGTTGTGTTCTTTCCTCTTGGGGTTTAAAGGGCAACAAGGAAATTTGACCATGCCAACCTTCGTTTGGTTGGTCCGAGTTTTGCTAGGGATTGAAAGGTCTGGGCTTTGAGGATTTAAAGTCTAA